ATTAGGCGCTAGGCACTGATCGAGAGCCTAGTTGGCGCCTAGCGACTTCTAGAAGAGTTTAAAAGATACATGAGTTGGGTATTTAAATTTGACAAGGTTTTTCAAAAAATGTGTAATAAAGCTTGGTGACATGATTTTTCAAAATAACAGATGTAATGACTGATAAACAGCATATTTCAAAAATTTTCAGAGTAACCAAAAGAAATTTCTCTAAAACATAGTGAAAAATGAAAATAGTTCTAATGATTGCCAGTCTCCGAAGAAGACAAAAATAGAACTTATCTGCTAACTACCGTTAATTCTGATCAAAGAACAAGAACATCTGAGAAGTGAAGATAACTTTTACTCTTGTTGGAGCATTTTATCAAACAGATTACAGGAATAACAATTGACAAACAATAAAACTCAGTTGTCCAATTTACTCTTCTTTCAGGTAGTAATCAATGATTAATTAAAGTGAGAAGCGAAAATATATTCCAAAATTGCAAGAGAGGGAGGGATAAAGACCTCCAACAAAGAGTTGCGTGCAAGAGTGACGCCATGTGAGACATAGACAAGTGAGGATCCTGTTGGAATTGGAGCGATACAAGCGAGTCAACCGCTGCATTTAACACAACCAACTGGTGATGACCAAACTCCAACCTTCAATTCTATGCAGCCTGTGGAGAAATTATCAGAGGTATGAAGCAAATCGCATAAGGCCCAGCAGTATTCAAAATTAAACAGTAGTTTTGTTCCTTGGTGGATAAAAATTTTTGACAAATGGCCATACTAATTAGTTAAACTCAATTGTGCCACGTTTTAGTTTTTTTTTAGTACACTTCTTTCTACACATTTATGTTTAAAAAAAAAAAAAAAAAAAATCACCAATTTGAAGGATTAATTTTGTTATGGAGCCATTAAATGACCCCACCTATGGAGTTAACTACATTTATTCACAAATAGTATATTCATGTGTCTTACAATAAATCTACATTGAACATATGTCAATTCATTAAATAATAGATAGTTCCATAAAAAAATCATCCGATGGATCTATAGAATTTATAGAAATTAGTATGTTTATAGAAAAAAATGCACTTAACATCAAGTGCTAATAACTTTTCTGAAGAGAAACTATTCCAAATGCTAACCAAGCACAAAATGTGCCGAAATAACTTGAAATAATGACCTCCTGCACGAATACATTTCCCATTAAACGAGTTCAAAAAATTTAATGCGATTAATGTTTCTAAAGGTCAGAATTACGAGTAAAGGAACGAAAAATAGAAATAAAAAGATCCAGCACTAGAAAATTTTTGAACGAACAGCAAAAGCAAAAAACTTTTTGGACACAAAATTCCTAAATTTCATCACAAATCAATTTAACCGCCGTTATTTTCCCAACAAATTTGACGCGGCGATTGAAGGCGGTGGTAGCTCGGAGATGGAGCCCATGAACATCGATATAGCCGATGTCTCGCTCGCTCGGCCGTTTTCCATGTCGATGTCCTCGGCTTCATCCTGCTCATGCACCAGCATATCCCCTTGTAATCCCCTCATTAACCTTAGGATTTTAGTAATTTTTATCAGTTTTTTCTTTTATTTTTTCAATGAAAATTTATTGTTAGCGCAGATCACCCAGGAGTTCGATGAATTGCGTAGCACGAGTTTAAAAAAAATAGAGATTAATTTCATCATATGCAATTCCTCATATTCGATTTTTTTACGAGAGCGAAATCGACTTGCATATTTTCTCGCTAGCCTCGAAGCTACCATCTACGTCCAGACTAATGATGCCCCACTATGCCTGCATACATTAGTGAGAATGGATCCAGTCGACTACCCATTTGATATATTTATTTCTCATTTTGGTTCACATAGTAGTGTTGATTGTATGCATGGGCACTTGATAATCCAAAGCGATACTTTTACGAGTGTTATTTTCTTTCTAGAGCCCTGGCGACCCGAATTTAGGAGGGTGGCAACAACAACATTGTAGGACACGTCTTATGAAGATCGTGTATCCGCTCAAGTCGATTGCTTCGAAAGACGCATTTCCACGGCATCCTTCTCGGCGATAGGTGTGGACGACTCGGTTATTAGACTTATCTTTTCACGGTTTGAGATGGTTCGGATGTCAATCCTTGCCAAACTCGATTTGTATGATAAAACTCTCACCAATCTTAAACACGCGATTTTGCTCTTGCGAACGAATTTTATATTAACTTCAATCATGATTAATTTGAATAGAGATGACAAGTATTTATAGAGGTTAACTATGTCTAATTCTAGGCCAACTAGAATCCTAACTCTTGGAAATAAAATAAACTCCTAAGGCAACAAGATATCTAAAATCGTAATCATACTAAATAACTGATTAAGCACATGCCTTTATTCAAATCTCTTAATCTAAACCAAAGTCCTAACATGCTAAGGAAGGCTATAAAAACATTTGGAAAAGTATCAAGAATAATCTAGAAAGATTCAACTCAAAAAGACTTCCGGAAGACTCAACTCCTTGCTCGACAAGTCACCCGCGCGAGCTGTCCCTGGTAGGACTGCGTCCGCGCCGCGCGTGCCTGATGAGGGTATCGTGTTTCTAGTCTCGGTTGTGAATAATACCGCACTCAGGGCCTTCGACTAAACACGATAGGTGTGACTAAAGGCACTCTCAGGGCCTTCTCTTAGACACGGTTGTATGATAAACACGCACTGACGACCTTGCTTAAACACACGAATGAACGAAACATTCCTTTTCTATTAACCACTCGACATATAAAATTGACTGAGTATATGGATATTTATAAGAAAAACTAGATCTAGTCCTATGAGCACTATAATTCTAATCTATGGAAAATATATCTAATTCTAAGGTAACTAAATGTCTTGCATATCAAGACTTACCAAAATATAAAATTCCTAACAAAACTAATTAAACTCACGCCTAACAAATCTAACGGCACTAACTAAATGATGCACCTAACATATAACTAATCCTAACACTACTAAAATTACTAACCAATTCGGCTAACAAAATATAAATAATAATCCTAACACTACTACACCTAACATATACTAACCAATCTTAACACCTAAGAGGCTTCGACCATAATTAATTAATTTAAATTAAACTAACAATTAATCTAATTTATAAATTAACTTCTAGAATCTTCGGTCTGCGGCTCGCACGGCTCGCCTCGTGTGATCGCGCATCACGTTCGCGTACGCCCCCGTGTGCCTCCTCGTGTGGCCCGTTGTCAACTTGCAGGCTCGACGGACAACTTTTGCTAAGCCCATGCCCATACGTGCTCTCAAGTCCACGCCCGTTCACTATCTCCCAGGCATGTGCATTCTTTCTTTTCTTGCGCGAGCTCCCCTCGCGCGTATCTGTCCCCTCACTCGAGGCCGGCGTCGAGTCCTAATCTTATCCAGTCCTCGCCATCGCCCTTTGGGGTTCTCGTGTTTCGACCGTGCACGTCTACGCCAATGTGCTTGTTCTCGCCATTCCAGTTGGGTCGACTTACGCCTATTGCCATGGTTCGCGCCTACGTGCGCTCCTCAATCAAGGACCTTCTGCATACGCACCTGCGCATACACCTCATGAACCTAGGGCTCTTGCGGCATCTTTGTGTGCGTGTCCTTGTGAACGCGCAAGCTCCTCTCACGCGTACCCGCTCGTTTACACAAGACTCCCGTCGATTCCCTCGCGTTCGCGTAGACTCATGTCGCTTGTCATGTGCTTGTGCGCCTCGCATACTAGCTCGTACCCGTCGTTTATCCCAACTCCTAAAAAAACTCACGCCAAATAATTCAAATCCCCAAACCAATAATACTCCAGCAATTTTGTACGAGACCTTACGCAAATAATTCTCACAGCCAAACGAAAAGAGAATAATAATCGCTTTCACAAATTGAAAATTACATAGTACCCAAAGACCTAAAAAAAACTCCACGACATTGACCTCTCAAAAAGTTTCGGCCAACACAATTCTAAGCTCCCAACAATTCACTACTTACGCACAAATCTCACAAACTCAAAATAAATAATTTTTTTTTGTGATCCGCACAGACTCTCCAAAATCAAACAAACTATTTTTTTTTTACACTCTCACGAAAAAGAAGAAGGAAAAGTCGAAAGAAAAAAAGAAAAATTCGAAAAGAATTTCGAAAAAAAAAAGAAAAAAAAAACATAAATAAGAAACACGATTGGCCACTCTCAACGAAAGCACCAATGATGAGGGATCGTGTTTCTAGTCCCGGTTGTAAATAATCGCGCACTCAGGGCCTTCGACTAAACAAGATAGGTGTGACTAAAGACGCTCTCAGGGCCTTCTCTTAGACACGGTTGTATGATAAACACGCACTGACGGTCTTGCTTAAACACACGAATGAACGAAACGTTCCTTTTCTATTAACCACTCAAACATATAAAATTGAATGAGTACATGGGTATTATAAGAAAAACTAGATCTAGTCCTATGAGCACTACAATTCTAATCTGTGGAAAATATATCTAATTCTAAAGTAACTAAATGTCTTGCATATCAAGACTTACCAAAATATAAAATTCCTAACAAAACTAATTAAACTCACGCCTAAAAAATCTAACGGCACTAACTAAATAATGAACCTAACATATACCTACTCCTAACACTACTAAAATTACTAACCAATTCGGCTAACAAATATAAATAATAATCCTAACACAACTACACTAACATATACAAACCAATCTTAACACCTAGGCTTCGGCCATAATTAATTCATTTAATCTAAACTAACATTTAATCTAATTTATAAATAATTTCTAGAATCTTCGCTCCTCGGTTCGACGGCTCGCCTCGTGTGATCGCGCATCACGTCCGCGTACGCCCCCGTGTGCCTTCTCGTGCGGCCCGTTGTCAACTTCCAGGCTCGTCGGACCACGTTTGCTAAGCCCATGCCCATACGTGCTCTCAAGTCCACGCCCGTTCGCGTATCTCCCAGTCACGTGCATTCTTTCTTTTCTCGTGCGAGCTCCCCTCGCGCGTATCTGTCCCCTCACTCGAGGCCCGCGTCGTCGAGTCCTAATCTCATCCAGTCCTCGCCATCGCCTTACAGGGTTCTCGTGTTTTGACTGTGCACGTCTACGCCAATGCGCGTGTTCGCGCCCATCCGGTTGGGTCGACTTACGCCTATTGCCATGGTTCGTGCCTACGTGAGCTCCTCGATCAAGGACCGTCCGCATACGCACCATGCGCATACACCTCATGAACCTATGGCTCTTGCGGCATCTTTGTGTGTGTGTCCTTGTGAAGGCGCAAGCTCCTCTCATGCGTACCTGCTCGTTTACACGAGACTCCCGTCGATTCCCTCGCGTTCGCGTAGACTAATTCCGCTTGTCATGTGCTTGTGCGCCTCGTATACTAGCTCGTACCCATCCTTTAGGCCATGCAAGCGTGGTTTTGGCCTTTTTCTCGACCTTCACGGACTGTCTCGATTCTTGGCCCTTCTCGTCGTCGGGGGTCGAAACCCACATTCGCATCATTCCCGCCCCCTTTGAGAATGTCCTTGTCCTCAAGGACTCGTCCTCGATCATCCACATCTCGGGCACTCCCTCTTCGACCACGCGCGCATCCTATTCATGGTCCTCGTCGACCTCGACCAAGACCTCACTCTCGACTTCAACCACATCTTCATCCGCACTGTCTTCCTTGTGCGTCTTGTCATCATGGCCCTCTTTAACCACGACCAAAATCTCCTTTTCAAGATGCACCTCAACCACTTCGTGTCCTTCGACCTTGACTTCTTCAAACCCGGCCAAAGTCTCTACGTCGACCTCGGCTACCTCGGGCTTATCCTCTTTATGCCTCTCGTCGAAAAATCCCGAAAACTCAAATGAAAAGGTTGGTTCCTCCTCAAAGAACCCCAGAAACTCGAACGAGAACGTAGGTTCCTCGTCGATCTCAACCCTTGCATCCTTTGACTTGCTTTTATGGCCCGACTCATATTTTTCGGTGCACGTAAGGCATAGCCCATCATCTTGTCATCGAAACATCTCTTCCATGATCTTGGCTTGTCGTTCGTACTTCTCCTCTAAATTCCTTCGCTCGTACAACTCCTCCAAGTATCTTTGCTCCTTCGGGGTTAGACTCCTCTCCAAACTTTCCAATATTGCCAAATCTTCCCAATCCAACTCATCTAATGACTCAAAAAACATATTTTTTTTATTCCCAACCCCTAAAAAAACTCACGCCAAATAATTCAAATCCTCAAACCAATAATACTCTAGCAATTTCGTACGAGACCTCACGCAAATAATTCTCCCAGCCAAATGAAAAGAGAATAATAATCTCTTTCACAAATTGAAAATTAGATACAACCCAAAGAACTAAAAAAAACTCCACGACACTGACCTCTCAAAAAGTTTCGGCCAACACAATTCTAAGCTCCCAACAATTCACTACTTATGCACAAATCTCACAAACTAAAAATAAATATGTTTTTTTTTGTGGTCCGCACAAACTCTCCAAAATCAAACAATCTATTTTTTTTTACACTCTCGCACGAAAAAAAAAATG